TATTATTAGAAGAAAAATAAAGCTCGACTCGGACAGACGAGTCCTTTTGTGTAAGAAATCATTTTTAATTGAATTGCTGTTGGGTTTTTGGAGCGGCCAACGAGTGGCCGTCTGAATGTATCAAGGAGTTCTGATACATTTTTGGTGCCTCCTGTGAGGAGCAATTTTGAAGTGCGACCTTGCATTCACGAACAAGCGATCGAGGAAGTCTCGCTTGGATTAGCAGTGCATCATCCAGCTGGAGTTACCGACAACGGCTCCACAGATTTAGTTTCGTGTAACGGAGTACTGAGACTTTGCCAGAAGTGCAGCAAAAGCGGTGGTTTGTAGTCGCTTCTAGGTGACACAACAACAACTCGTGAGCCGTTTAGAATTAACTGTTCAATAAGCCGCTAATCAACGTTTGCTTTGTGGCGTGATTAGGCAGATATGATTTTGTGGAAAAAACTGTACAACATATATTGCGGTATGACTTCTTTGAATTTACGTTCTTCAGCGAAGTCATCGATTACGCGGATTTTTAATACGGTTCATACAGAGGACTATAGTCCAGACCAGGTCGAAATTGAGCAAGACGCAAGAAGAAGTAGGTATAGAGGAATCCTTTGACGTTAATAGCGTTTCCTCTTCTAATTGGGTCATTCACCCCGTTGAACGCACTTACTGCGATCCAGTCCAGGACTCCAACGCTGATTTGACCTTAGAAGAATTTGCCCTTTATTCAGACCTTAAAGATAGGAAAAAAGCGTTTTGAGAAAGTTTTTTTTAGATGAGGAAATTGAACAAATTTCAATTAGAGACCCACCTGCTGTTAGCGATGAGCATTTCGCTAAGATTTGCCGTGGCTATCAGCAGAATGAAACCAAACTCCTTAAAAAAATTCAAGACCTAGAAACCCAACTCAAAGTATTAAAAAAAAATATTCTGACGTTGAAAAGGACGCCATCTTTCCCGCAGTGGATGCCAGCGAGCACGCCGTACAATTTGCGAAAGTGATAACGAATACGCGGCATTCATATGCAGATTAGGAAAAGATTATGGCCCAAAAACTTAATTATATGTCATCTAAGGCATATAATTTCATGCGCGATGACCTCCTTTTTTCCCTCCCCTATAAAACTACCCTTTTACTTTGGCGCCCTATTCGGTTTGTAGCCCCTGGGCTGCAAACCAACGTCCTTGATAATTTGAGTAAAATTGTCAAGGACATGTCTGAGAGCGAACGGCTCTGTACATTAATTTTTGATGAAATCGGTATAAAAGGCGATCTAACATACAACAAAACCAGAGACCTCATAGATGGATTCGTTGATGACGGAGCCGGTCTCCGTCAAAATACCATTGGCAATAAGTGCCTCTTTTTTATGATCAAAGGGATCACAAAAAAATGGAAGTACGTACTGTCTTATTCTATAGCAAAAGAACGGGTTACGGCCCCCTTCTAATGAACCTGTTGAAAAGCAATATAGATTCTGCCCAAACACTTGGTCTCAGTGTAAGGGCTATTATATGTGATCAGGGTACTCACAATTTACAGCTTGTCCATTTGCTCAATATCACTCCCGAAGCCCCTATTTCGAGCATAATGGCCAACGGGTTCATTTTCTGTTTGATTATTGCCACCTTATTAAGTCCATCCGCAACTATTTCCTTAAGTACGACTTCCAAACCGCGGATGGTACAGCTAGTTTTCGTGTCATTAGGAAAGTGTACGCACTTGAAAAAGCAAACGTAAATTTTAAAATTTGTCCGAAATTGACCGACGCTCGTATTTATCCCGGTAATTTCGATAAAATGAGCGTCTCTCGTGCCACGCAAGTTTTAAGCAACTCCGTTGCAGCTGGTATCGAGATGGTATACGATCAGAACCTTTTCGGTAAGGACCACATTAATTTCATTAAACGTATTAAACAACCTTCTCCTCTTGTCCAATGCCTTGACGGCTTCATTTTGACCCTTAAAGCTATGCTTTCACTTTCGGCGGAAATTTTCGAGGAACATAAAAACCTCTCCTTTATACTTCTGGGTAAATTAAATCAAGATGCGCTTGAAAATTTGTATTATAAAGTCCGAGCTACTTCCGGCATTAATACCCACCCCTCTGCATATGAAATGCAATTTATCGTTGCGCGTCTTATATCGATGCACATTTTACGGCGTAAATTTTCGCAAACAGGTAGTAACTTCGAGGAAGATGACGACCTTAACCTGGACTGGAATACCCCTCAAGAGCAAGCTCTTGTGGCTACCCTGGACCCCCCCAGAATCCATTTCTCTCGAAGATATCGAGATCCCCGATGGCTATTTCGCTCAAACACAAAAACCGGCCGAAATTCAAGTACAAAGGTACTACACAGGGTATGCCATTTACCAAAAGGTACTATTAAAGTTAAAATGTAACCATTGTCTTCATCTTATGATGAAATTTGATAATCCCTTAGATACAAATTCAGAGGCCTTTAGTCGAGCGAAAAATTTCAAAGACTCTGACGATCTCAGCCTTTTAAACCCCAATGATCGTATATTCGAGATATGTATGTCGTATGCAAATGTCTTTGTATAACGACATATTCTCCCAAAATGCCCACAAACCTGATCTTAAAGCTTTAATAATTTCTGCTATACACAGTAGAACCCTTGTAATTTATCCCGAATGGTTTCTCGAAGCGTGCGAATGCTCCGAGCATCGGGATAAATTCTTAGACTTTTTAGTCACTGTCCTTTTGTATAAAAATTCTAAATGGTTAGCTCGCCAAACAGCGGAAGTCCATATTAGCGGCGGTTGGTTGGTTAGGAGTGGGAAATTGCACACGGAAATGTTGCGACGGAAATGATGCAACGGAAATGGTACAACGAAAATGGTGCAACGGAAATAGTTGGGGCTGAAACAAGTGCTTCTTGTGTGTATGCATATGGTATTAATTTAACAAAAATTTGCTAATATAAGGTTAAAGAATAAAACTTAGAAAAAGACCAATACAAGAATGAAAGTAAAGGTGAGTACATAAATAGACAAAGAAAAGGATAAAGGCAAAGGTAAAAATAAAAACAAAAACAAAGATGCGTAAAGATAAAGGCAAAAATGAAGATCAAGGTAAATTTAAACACTTTACTTATATATATAGGAGCAAAGGTGAAGGGGAATATGTAGATGAAGAAAATGATAAACATAAAAGTAAAGACAAAGAGGAGGACGAGGATACCGATAAAAGTAAAGATGAAGATAGGGGACGAAAGATTAATATAAATGTAATTAAAGAGGAAAGGATATAGAGAGAGACACAGGGACTCAATCTGGGAACTATTTTGGGATTTTAGAGATTTTCGGGATTCTCGAGACTTATCGATAAAATAATCGATAACTATTTTGTTAGCGATATTTTTATCGATTTTGTAATCTATATTTATCGATTTTGTTATCGATATTTATCGATTTTGTTATCGATTTTTTCATCGACTATTTATCGATATTTTTGTGGATTTTGTTGTCGATATTTTTATCGATTTTCTAATCGATTGTTTATCGATTTTGATATCGCTATTTTGATCGATTTTCCAATAGATTTTGCTATCAATATTATAACCGATTTTTCTATCGAAATTTTTATCGAGTTTGTCATCGATTTTGTTATCGATATTTTTATCGGTTTTGTTATCGATATTTTGGTGGATGTTACTATCGATTTTGTTATCGATAGAGTGTAAAGATAAAAATGAAGGTAAAGGAAAACAGAATAAAATAAATGTAATTAGAACGAACAGGAGTAAAGGTAGGGATCTAGATAAAAAAGACAAAAAATAACCCTTAAGCAAAAGCAGATGAATGTGTGTACATATTTATGTATATTGGTTATGAAAAAAAAAGAGATACGTAACGTAAGTTTCACTTCACCAGTGTGGCCCAGGCGCACTTACTTTTTTTTATTGAAATATATTTATTTTATTTTAATTTGTTTTATTTTATTGAAATGTATATATTTTATTTTAATTTATTGAAATGTATTGAATTTTATTTTATTGAAAAGTATTTCATTTTATATTATATTTACATAAAAAACAAAAAAAATAAATTAAAAAACAAAACAAAAAACAAACAAAAAACAAAAAAAAGCATGAAAGCGTTTTACATTTGTAGTTAGTTAGCTTTGTTTAGTTGTATATTAGTATAGTTGAATTTACTTTGTTTTATATGAATTATTAGTATGTACATATTTGTATATTAGCAAATTGTATTATTAATTAATGGTATTAGTAATTAGTACTTTGATAATTATTTAGAGTAGCCCTTAGTAGTAAATATTATAGCATTAGAGTAATTTATAGTCGTAGTTGCATGAATAGTAGTAGTACCTCTGGACACGAGCCAAGTTTTTTAAAACCTTATATATATATATATACGTATACATAACTATATAATGTGTATATATGTATATGCATATCTGAGTTGTTGCGAATATTTGCATTCACATTCGCAACCGCGGAGCTGCCGCATTAATTTCAACATTCGCATTCGCATTCGCAATAATCAATGCGGAGTTTTTGCAAATGCGAATGTTGTGCAAGTGCACCGAATATATGGCAAACAAAATTACAAATTGTAGCTAATATTTTTGCCTGTGTTCGTGGGAGTATTTGTGTAACAAAACTGGTTGTATAACACATCATGTCCCATCACTGATTTGATTACATGTATATATTTTTCGTATTCAGTGGCATCACTTGTTTCTTGAGTAGTTTTTGTTATTCTGTCGAAAACGAAACGTAGCGCTGCACATTGGCAGGCATAACTTTAAAATTGTAATTTGCTTATTATTAGAAGAAAAATAAAGCTCGACTCGGACAGACGAGTCCTTT